ATTGCGTTCCAAGAATACAGGGTTGTTGGTTGTTCCTAGAGTCTCTAAGAGTACAATGGGAGCCAGACCCTTTTCTTATCAAGCTCCACAGGAATCAGCAGTTTGTGTTCGGGCGGCAGACACCCTATCCGTTTTTAAGAGTGCTCTTAAGACCTTCCTTTTTGATAAACCTTATTGTTGATAAGAGAATCTAATAAGAGTGCATTGACGTAGACATGTTGTGCCTCTTCACCTATACATTTAGTTTAGTTCTTCTTTCCCCTCACTGATGGTATAGATGTAATTTGGTTGTGTATGTAGACGGTGGAAGCAGGGAGAGGCATATACGTGCCTTGATCTCTGCCGTGTCGACGCACAACTGTTGATTGGTGTCAGTGCCAAAAAAACTTTTTAGGACCAATGCGCTCATGGTATAGATGTGGCGCATACATCTTAGTTCCTACTCTTTTCCCTCACCCTATCCTAAGGGAGTGCATGTATGTAGACACGTTAGTTTTGCTGCTATAGGCTTAGACTGTCGGGGGACACCTTACTTCTTCCTTCTGTCTGTCTGTACCTGTGTCCTCTCATGTTCCGAATAACCCAGCTTCCCCCAAATTTCTTTTTGGTGTCTATCTACGCCAGGATCCTGAGTCGTGGCTGAACCGATCTCTGCGGTCCTGCCTGACTCTCATCATACTACTTCCCTGATGAATCCCACTGGACTGTTGACATCCTCGTGGATTCTTCTTCTTATAGACGCATGCATTTCCAAACATTTGGTCTACCTAAGCTGTAAAATGTATTATCTCTTGGATTTACACACGGCATCTATTGCACGTCTTTCCGTCCTGGGACAGGGATCCCTCCTCTGTTGCTCTCCCTGAGGTTTCTCCCATTTTTCCCTTTAAACTGTGGTTTCTCTGTAAGTTTTTCCTTGTACGATGTGAGGGTCTAAGGACAGAGGGTGTCGTATTGTCATACTGATATTCTGTACACACTGTGAAGTCCACTGAGACAAATGTAACATTTGTGATATTGGGCTATATAAATAAACATTGACTGATTGACATGCATTACATTCTGACACTAAATTGTCATTGAAGTTAAAATAGCTATTTTAAGCAATACATAAATAGTGGGATGACATTTTTGTTAAGTTTACTGCAGTTTCCACTTCCTGACTACTCTTTTGAAGGCTGGATGTTTTAAGACCTCTCTTTAACTTGTTGTCTATTTTATAAAACATCTGAGAGTCTATTGGGGTTTACTTAGGGATGGGTACCAAGCCCCGGTATTAAACGGGCCCCGGGTCTGAATTATTAAAGACCGTGGTACCGTTAAGCTCCGATGTTATCGGTCTTTTTATCGGTACTGGAGACATGTAAAAAATATATGTATTATTGCTACACAAACATTACATTGCAGTTGTAGTGTCGCCAACTCCGTTTCTAATATGCAAAAAGACAGCAACATGCGTCTTTTAGATCTTTCCAGACGAGAGATCTCTCTCCCCCGTCTGTGTGCGAGGGTCGGGGCAGTTTACACACACGCTCTGCTAAATGCTTGCAACACACACACACACACACACGGAGGAGATAGCGGAGAGAACACGCTCCGAGGTGTGGTTAAACTATAGCCGTGTCGATGTGGACAATGCTCGTTACCAAAAGTGCAATAAGAGTTTAGCATGTAAGGGCGGTAACACAAGCAATTTGTCAAAACATCTTGNAACTGGAAAAGCACCACCATTCAAAAGCTTTCTGATGCGGGTCTTGAAACAAAGCAGAGAAATTATGACCGTTAGTGGCCAC